AGACGATTCATTAAGAACTTCGCCGACTATTCTCGTCACATAACAAAGTTATGCAAAAAAGATGTCAAATTCGAATGGACGGCAGATTGTCAAAACGCCTTCGAACATCTAAAATCGGCATTAATGAATCCAACACTTCTCCAATACCCAGACTTCAGCAAAGAATTTTGTATTATAACGGATGCCAGTAAGCAAGCTTGTGGAGCAGTCCTGACCCAAAACAAAGATGGACTTCAACTCCCGGTAGCATACGCATCGAGATCTTTTACTAAAGGAGAAAGTAATAAAAGCACAACAGAACAGGAACTAACAGCCATACATTGGGCAATAACGTACTTAATGCCATACATTTATGGTAGACACTTCAATGTCAAAACAGATCACAGGGCACTCATATATCAGTAACTCCAACTATCCAAATTTGAAGCTTCTAGCTATTATACTTTAGAAGATATAAACTTTTGCGGTTTGTCACGCCCCCTTGGGCGGACATATATCCGACAAAGCTTTTCGGTCTTGGGTGATCAGATCGAGTATATATACAATATTTGAGGTCTCTGGCATCAATAGTGTCCAAAATATAGCAGAACATAAAAAACACTATATCTTCAGGTCAGATTTGCCACGCCCCTAATGGGCGTAGACTTATTATTTTGTTTTTAGACTTTATAGAATCATAACATTAGCTGACGTGCAAAATTTCAGCATTCTAGGTTTACAACTTTAGAAGATACGGTTTTATCCGATTTGCCACGCCCCCAATGGGCGTAGATATATCCGCCATAGCTCGTGATTCTGGGTGGTCGACGCGGACATACATACCAAATTTCAGCTTTCTAGCTCTTTAACTAACATGATTTCTGGTATATCGGAAAATGCATTTTCCGATTTGCCACGCCCCTAGTGGGCGGATCGGGAAAATTTTAACACTCTATAAATTGGAGATATACACGAGTATGTGTTCCAAATTTCAAGTCTCTAGCTTCAATAGCTCCGAAATAGATTGCGATCATACGGACAGACGGACGGACGGACGGACGGACAGACGGACAGACGGACAGACGGACAGACAGCAAGACGGACATTGCACAAAACCAATATACTGATTCACTCTCGTGAATGAGTATAAAAATATACAGACAAACAATAAAATTCTGAAAGTCACTACCAGAAATCAAAGTAATCAGTTAAATTCCTGCGCAGGAAAAGAAAAAGAAAAGGAGGTCTTGCAAAAGCAGACTCCAAATGCTTCTAAGCCCAACATATACGAAGTCATTGTAAATCACGAGGTACGAAAAGTAGTGACCTTGCGAATAACAAATTCTCTATGTTTATTAAAACACGGAAAAAGTGTTATCGCAAGAATTGATGTTAGCAATATGTACACCAATGAAACTTTTGACTTAGATCAATTCTTTCAAAGGCTTGAATCAGAAGCCGGTATACTTAATATTAGCAAACTCAAAGTGGCACCGAGCGAAAAGATCTTTGAGATTATCTCAATAGAATCTTTTAAATTAATGGGCAATAAAATATTAAAATCTTTAAGAGTAGCGCTACTCAAGCCGGTGACCCTATTATCAAACGATAATAATAAAGAACAAGTAAGAAAGCTTTAGTCGAGACTACTCGACTACGAGATCCCCTGAACCCTTGGAGTAATAGCTATTTCAATAATTTTTCGCGTCTTTCAGCTTACACAAGAAACACGCACACACACACACACACACACAAACACACACGCACGCACGCACGCACAGACACACACATACACAAACAATTACATACATATACAAACACAAGCATAAACATGCATGGGCGGCAGTGAGCGCTTACTATGAGAACTTAATTGCTTACTAACTTTTTTTGTGGACGTACGATCTTCATGAAACTTTTAGATTATGATTATAACATGGATATGCATGTAATTGCCAAAGCACAAATCTCTAGTATTTGAAATACGCCTTTTACAAAAGTGACGGTGAGGGGGTGAATTTAAGGGTGGGGGGTAAATTTTAACAAAAACCGAAATTGTATAAATTGCATATAAGCATACATTAAAAATTTTGAGACTCTAGCAATAAAGGTGTAGAAGATATAATTTTAAACCTGGTTTTCGATAAGGATTTTTATCGATAAAAAAAGATCGGGATGAGTTATCGATTTTTAATGATAAACTTGATATGCGCGCTGTAATTACGAACATTTTAAAAGAAATTTGAAGTCTCTAGCTCTTATATCTTCTGAAATCGACGCGTTCATACATACGGACAGACGGACAGACGGACAGACAGACGGACAGGGCCAAATCAACTCAGCTCGTCGCCCTGATCAAGAATATATATACTTTGTGGGGTCTGCCACGCCTCCTTCTGCCTGTTACATACATTTCAACAAAACCATTATACCCTGATTTCCCATTGAAAATGGGTTCAGGGTATAAAAAGAAGCAATACTGTTTACGTTCCATGACGACCCAATACAAGGAGGTCATACTGGAATAGCCAGAACGATAGTCAAAATAAAAAGGCATTATCACTGGAATAAAATGACAAAAGATATATCGAATTATATAACAAAATGTGAGAAGTGTCAAAAGTCTAAAACGACTAAACACACAAAGACTCCATTAACTATTACCGAAACTCCATAGAGAGCTTTCGACAGGGTAATTGTTGACACGATCGGTCCTTTACCCAAATCCGAATACAGAAACGAATACGCAGTAGCTTTAATCTGCGATCTAACAAAATATCTTGTAGCAATTCCCATTGAAGACAAAAGTACGAAAACAGTAGCAAAAGCTATATTTGAAAATTTTATTCTGGTATACGGTCCAATGAAGACGTTCATTATGGACATGGGTACAGAATGTAAAAATTCACTAATTGAACACTTATGTAAAGACCTTAAAATTAACAAGTAAGAAGGCTCCAGTCGAGACTGCTCGACTAGGAGATACCCTGAACCCTCCAAGCTGATATTGTAATCATTCTGGACTTATTTTATGCACACATACATACACATGCATCCACACGCATGCATAAGCCTGCGCTCTGCTATCTGCGCAGTAAGCAGCGACTGCGCTTGGGCTGCGCTGCACTGTGGGCAATATTATGAAAATTTATTTGTTAAATAATTTCTTTTGTAGACATACGATCTTAATGAAACATTCAAAACATGATCATATGGTGAATATGTGTGTACATTCTAAAGCACAAGTCTCTAGTACTTGAAACATTTATAAATTGAGGGAGAAGGGGGCGTGGTATCCTAAATCTGTAAATTACAAAATCTTTGTATCGATTAACTTTATATACAACGCAAATTTGAAGACTCCAGGTCTAAAAGTGTTCAAATTAGGCTAAAAAACAAAATCAATTTTTCGATTATTCTCGATAAAAAGGTTATCGGACGATTTATCGAAAAAATAAGCAAACTCGTACTGCGTATGGTACACACGAGTATGCATGCCAAATTTCAGCTCTCTAGCTCTTGTAACTTCTGAGATCGACGTGTTTATGCGTGGGTGCTTGTGTGTGTATGTGTTTGTGTGTGTGCGTATGTGCGTGTTTCTTGTGTAAGCAGAAATTCGCAAAAAATGATTGAAATAGCTATTGTTCGAAGGGTTTAGTGGATCTGGTGGTCGAGCAGTCTCGACTAGAGCTTTCTTACTTGTTTTTACGTGAGAGCATGACCGAAAGCTGACACTGTTATCAAGTCTACTGAGTCTCAATGACAATGCAAAGATCCGCAATAGCAATAGGGAAAATACCGCATTTTTCAAGTATTCGTCAATTTTTCAGTATTTTTATACCCTTAACCCATTTTCAATGGGAGATCGGGGTATAATGGTTTTGTTGAAATGTATGTAACAGGCAGAAGGAGGCGTGGCAGACCCCACAAAGTATATATATTCTTAATCAGGGCGACGAGCTAAGTCGATTTGGCCCTGTCCGTCCGTCCGTCCGTATGTATGAACGCGTCGATCTCAGAAAATATAAGAGCTAGAGAATTGAAATTTTTCCTAGGTACGTGTATATCTCTATATATCGATAACTACTCCCGATATTTTATTATCGATCAAAAACCTTATCGACAGCTAGTTATTTAATTATATCCTCTACACCTTTAGAGCTAGAGCTTGCAAATTTTATATGTAGACTTATATGTATTTTATATAATTTCGATTGTTGTTGTTATTTACCCCCCACCCTTATATCCACCCCCTCACCCTCACATTTGTACAAGGCGTATTTCAAGTACTAGAGACTTGTGCTTTGGAATGTACATACATTTTGATTATGTTCTGAAAGATTGTACGTCTAGAAATTAAATTATTCAACAAATAAATTCTGAAATTGTTTCCAACACTACAGCGCAGCCCAAGCGCAGTCGCTGCTTACTGCGCAGATAGCAGAGCGCGTTCTAATACGTGCGTGTGTGTGTATGTTTGTCGAAAAGAAGTGCAGACTGATTAGAATATCAGATTAGAGGGTTCAGGGTATCTCCTAGTCGAGCAGTCTCGACTAGAGTCTTCTTACTTGTTTTAAAGTGTGTGTTTATGATTTGCTGAGTCATTGAGTGTGAGTAAGGTGGCAAAAATTGACACACTTTCAGTTCTCTGGTCATAATCTAAAAGTTTCGTCTATCGACAAGAAAAGTTATTAAACAATCAAGTTTCCATAGTAAGCCACCGCGTACGTGCGTATGGCTATGTGTGTGCGTGTGTGTGCAAGTGCGAATAATTATTGCAGTTGAAATGTTAATTCTTCCCAGGGTTCAGGGAATCTTCTAATCTCCTAGTCCAGTCTGGACAAGGGCTCACTTGCTTTTTTTTTTCTTGTTCTAAAACATATACATATGTAGTTGATGTGGGTGATATTAAAATGTATGTCGATGTGATAATATAACATTCTTGCTATACTGTAAACAAATATACAAACCTCGCAAAAAACAGGCTGTTTTAAAATATATTTAATCCAACTGTACGCACTTACGTTTAGCTTCAAGGCTGTCTTCAAGAGCACCTAGAGTTTTAGCTGTTTTTCTTTTACTCTGACTTCGATGGTAAAGAGTCATATAATCATCATTAGAAAGTTGTAAAGCTTTATCATAATAGTGCATAGCAATATTCTCTCTGCGTCGTCGTGAATAATATTTTCCCCAATCCTTATAAATTTGCTGCTCAATTTCAGGTGTCCAATCAATTTTTTCCCATATTGGAATTTCTGCTTCCACTCCTTGGGCTTGTGGAACTGAAATTGGTAAAATGGACAGCATGACTTTGCTTTTTTTGTTTATACGATTATTTTATTTATTTTTTTTTTTTTTTTTTATTTATTTATTTATTTTTTTTTTTTTTTTTATTTCAACGTTCATGAACTACTTAACTTACTGAATAAATTTTGTTTTACATTGAACAGAAAATTTCGTTCAAATGACGTTAGTTTAAATGGTTTATAGATTTAAATATTATCTTGTTTTTCATAGCTCATAATCGAGACTACGAGATACCCTGAAGCCTCCAAGCTGATATTCTACTCATTCTGCACTTCTTTTATGCACACATACATATACTTGCATCCACATGCACGTATATAATATAATCACGAGCTCTGCTGACTGCACAGTAAGCAGCGACAGCGCTTGGTCTGCGCTGCAGTGTGGACAATATTATTAGTTATTATTAGTTGAATAATTTCTTTTGTAGACAAACTGTCTTTATGAAACTTTCAGAGCGTGATCATCTGGCTAAAATGTGTTTATATTCCAAAGCACAGCTCTAGTACTTTAAATACATTATTTACAAATTTGGAGCAAACGGGGCGTGGTATCCATCAACTTTATATACACAGTAAATCTTAAGTTTCCAGGTTTAAAAGTGTTCAAATTAGGCTGAAAAAACAATGTCTATTTTTCGATTATTCCCGATAAAAAAAATTTTCGAATAAATAAAGCAAAATCGTAATGCGTATGGTATACACGAATATGCATGCCAAATTTCAGCTCTCTAGCTCTTATATCTTCTGAGATCGGTTTGCTCATACGGACGGACAGACGGACAGGGCTATATAAACTTAGCTCGTCGTCCTGATGAAGAATATATATACTTTATGGGGTCTGCGATGATTCCTTCTGCCAGTTACATACTTTTCACAAAATCATTATACCGTGATTTCCCGTTTTCAATGGGTTCAGGATATAACAAGTAGGAATGCTCTAGTCGAGACGGCTCAATTACGAGATCTCCTGAACCCTTCGATCAACTGATATTTCAATATGCACATTCACACACACACAGACATACGCACGCACGCATAAACACGCATTGGCTGCAGTGGTGGCTTACTATGGGAACTTAATAACTTATCTTGTGGATGTACTTTCATCATTATGCAACTTTCAGATTATGATAATATATATATACATGTATTTGCCAAAGCACAAGTCCCTAGTATTTGAAATACGCTTTTTACATAGGGGTATAGGGGTGGCGGATAAATTTTAAGAAAAATCGAAATTGTATAAAATACATATAAGCACTAACCAGAGAACACATAGACTAGACAACTAGTGCACGCTTTTCCTGAGGCTTTAACACCCCAGACAGCTTTGGATTCGCTCGGCTCTTTACTTTTAGGTTCGAGCTACGAAAATATACGAACGCACAATCATTTCGCTTCATGCGCTCGACCGTGATGGTCAAATGTTGAACAAAAGATCCCTCTATGCTCAATGTTTCCCTTGCTCTCTCTCTCGATGCTCTCTGCTCTCTCGAATGTGTATATGTATGTTTGCATGTGAGCACAAGCAGCAGCTCACGAAAATTGAAATTTCGTCGCAGCAAGAACCTATGCCTTCCCTTTTGAGTGAAGAGTATTCCGAACTTTTCAAGCCGTTTGCCATGCTCGTGCAGAATGTTTGCGTTTTCGTTATTATTTGTGGGAAGGGTATGAAAACGTTGGTGCGCATAATGAAAAACTTTTCACGACGAGCATGCACACACACACTCTCCCTTGCTACATGTACTATGAGCATTTGTATGCCTGTGTGCGAGGCTCTTGCTGCCTGTAGCAATTTTAAAGCCCAGCATTTGCATTAGGTCGATCTTGTGAACTGCTCACACTTACAAACATATGTTTGAATGTGTGTACGTAGGGGCCGCGATGCTCACAAATGATGGGGTAATCATTGTAGAAGCATTTGAGTACCTTTATATGTATGTGCGTATGTTTGTGTATGTTAATGTGTGTATGCATGCTACATGAGCATTGACGTGTGCCTCCCTCAACTTAGAATGGTGTGAACGATTTTGGGTTTTATTTGAAGAGGCGCGCTTACATTTAAGTAGCTTACTAACTAAAGCAACAAGTGCACTTCCCATTACTTTTATAGGTATTTATACCCTGAATCCACTTTCAATGGGAAATCAGGGTATAATGGTTTTTGTTGAAATGTATGTAGCAGGCAGAAGGAGGCGTGGCAGACCCCACAAAGTATATATATTCCGTATGTATGAACGCGTCGATTTCAGAAGATATAAGAGCTAGAGTCTTTTAAAATGACCGTATATACAGTGCGGACGTCGAGTTTGCTTTTAAAATTCGATAAATCATCCCGTTATGTTTTTATCGAGCAAAAACATTCAAGTTCAAGTCAGATGCCACTATAGCTAATTGTGAATATTTTTAATTTTTTTTAAATTTCTCAAATATTCAATATAATATGTAGATCATATGCTGAAAGTTTCATTAAATTCCGTTCAGTCAAAAATTAATTAAAAATCATCAAATATTTGGCCAATCAACAAACGCACGAGCAGCAGCTACAAAAGTATCGTATGCGTGTTGTAAAGTTACATTATTTTCCAGCCGGGGTCAGAGTCTCAGTCTGCCCAGGGCCATAACTCGCAAGAAATTTGTAAGTTGATACGGGACGTATCGAGTTAGAGAAATGGGAGAGGGGGGGAGTTTTATAGGTTAGGCGACCTCGCGGCCTGAGCTCGCCGACCACGCCCACGCGTTTGCACGCGGGAGAGCGGCCGCAATCGAATGGCGCGGTCAAGCGCACTCTAGATTGCGGTGGTCGGGGCTGCGAAGGCGTGCTGTGGGATGTTAGTGGGGCCACTACGATTGGTAGACCGCGGATCGAGGAACGCCCAGCGTTGCCGCCGGCGTTCACTCAAGACCACGCGATTTTGCCTGCCAGAGTTTTGACCTTCCGGCGAACGGGTCGGCGAACGGTGGTTATGATTAGTAAACTGAGGGATTGGTTAGCAAACTAGATATGAATAAACACGCAAATTCCTCTAATTATTCATATTCTTACTTTATTCACGCCTTATGTCCTCTATGTTCGCTAAGTAATTTTGCTGTTTTCTTTTCTTGCTGCCGCATCCGCTCACTTCGGGAGCTCGAAACTAACTAAAACTGGCCCGCAGCTTTCGATCTTTTCTCTCGCCTCTGCAGCTTTCACCACGCGACCAGCAATGCAGCTCACCACGACGAGCTTTCGAGCCGCAGGGTTGCATTGCTGATCGCGCGCGCGCGCTCAATTATTTGAATCTCTGCTTATCCTAGAACTTAATGCTACCTTACAGACTAACGCTTATTCTAAAAATAACTAATTACTATCAACTTATAAATGACGACTTCAAAATGTAACCTTACTAACTACAAAACCAAAATCTATACCAAAATCCATCCTTACAAACTAACGCTTATTCTAATAATACAACTTCGAAATATGACCTTACTAGCTACAAAAACCAAAATCTATAACAAAATCCATTTCATTACAATGTCTTACAAAGTCAAGATTCACTACGAAAATCCATTTCATGTCAATGTCTACTTATTCGCTATAAACATGTAAGGTGGGCAAGAAAATGCCACCTTACACCCCCCCTTACTTCGACAGGGAAATTACCACGCCCCCCGATGAATTAACAGTCACCGTATAGGCCTGTTCCCCCGCCGCTACCCGGAAACGGGTCCTCCTGTGCCGCCGTCCTCGCGTCTCCACCTCCCGCCTTAGCAGTTGGATCACCTCCGCACCCAGCTCGGTGCCGGCAGGGTGTATTCTCCAGCCTATGGGGACCAACGGCAACATCCTCCTCGACTCCGCGTCCTCCTCGCCGAGTACCTCCTCGAGATTTACCTCCCACCCGTCTAGCAACTCGGCCATGTCTGCCAACAGGCGCCTTTCCTCGCTCGAACGAGTCTCCGTCGACTCCTCTCGGCGCTCGCTGCGCCTTCGGCGGAGACGCACGCGATAAACGTCGGTTTTCGACCGTGCCCGGCGTATATCGTAGCGTAATCCTGACGGAATCCGGCTGTCGCTCCTCCTCGGCGTCGACGCTAGCTCGGCGTCGGGGAATGGGGTTTGTGGTGCCATCCTCCTTGGAGTTCGCGTCTTCGACCCGAACTGTTCCATCGCGCCTCCCCGACACGTCCAAGTGTTCCTCCACCAATCCATCCCGCGCCGCGGTCTCCGGGGCAGGGTTATGGACGGAGGGACTACGCTCCCTGCCGCCGTCCCGCCCCCGCGACGGGGATCCATCGTCGATCTCTCCGGCCGGGATTTCTTCCTGCTCACTCGCCGTCCATGGTGTCGGAGTCGCCCATCCCGACGAGACTCTGTCGTCCGCACATCTCCGCGCGTACGACTCCGGGCTGCCCGGTGGGCGGGGAGGAGACGGCAGCTCCTCCACGAGTGGTGGCGTTGTTCCTCCCCTGGGCACCTGGATATACACTGTTGTGTACCTGGCCTGTATAAACTGTATTAGGCCGTCCATCCGGGCTGCCACGTTCATCGTCGAGCGGAGGACCGTGTGCACGCGCCGAGGTGGCGCCCGCTCCTCTTGGCGGCGGTAATATTCCCTACCGAGCCTCGGGTCCCTTTGTCGCCTCTGCGCCTCTTCCCGGGAGAACGGTTCGGTGCTGTCGCTGCTGGTGTCCTCGACTCGGACCGAGCCAATCCTTCCACCGCGTTCGACAGTTGGTGTTGTCGCAACAGAACAGAACCCAACGTTGGTATCCAGTCACGCCGTCTTAAGTTGTAGTGCCTGCCTTGATCTTTTGATGCTCGCTGCAAGTTACTGCGCACTTTGTCGAAAATCTCTCTCATTTTAACCTCTTTGGCCTGGGGCTGGGTCTCTCTAGTCGCCGAACCGGGAGTGACTTCATCGTACAAAGCGGCGGGTAGGCGTGGTTCCCGCCCTAACATCAGATATGCTGGAGTGAAGCCCGTGTAGTCGGCCACGCTCGAATGGACTGCCAGCGTTATCTCCGGCAACAGCTCGTCCCATGAGCTCTGATGGCCTTCGATATACTGAGCTATCAT